TATATAGATATATATAATGCATTTATTTATGTAAATAGTAACTAATTTAAACCCTTAAATTTTCAGATTTGAGAAGCAAAAGCTCTTATTTATGCTGTTTCTATCCAATAACTACAAAAATAAAGAAAAAAAAATAGCTTAAAAGTCAGACTTATTGTCAAGATCAGCATGTTGAACTCAAACACAAACAAAACTCAGGGAAACACAAGAATAAATAATTAAAATAAATAATTAAAATAAATAATAATGTATTAATTTTCAGGAAAAAAAATCAAAAAGCTAAAGTGGCAGCGTAAACTTACAAAAAAATCCTGGAGGCTGAACATGACGGCTGTGGAGCACAAGCTACAGACAACGTGAAAACACAGCGATGCAGAACTTAAAGGGACACTAATGAGACACGATGACAAACGCCTGGGGACAAGGAACAGGTGATCGTGGCAGGAGATGACTACACGCAGAGAGAAACAGACTCAGAAAACTAGATAAAAATCATCACAAAACACACAGATATGACAATTATTGTAACTCTGTCTCTATACTACTTAAAAGTCACTTCTTAATCAGTTGTTTTCTCAGTGTACATTCCTAAACCTACAAAATAAGTCATTAGTATGCCAAAAATATTAATTCAATCTGACTTATTAATAAAAGTAACTTAAAAGGTCTTTGTTTGTTTTTTCTCTCATTTTCCAGGCAAAATGGGTAAAGGTTTGTTCAGTGCTCTTGAGGAGCTGGGTGGCCAGGATTACCAACCTTCAGACTGTACTCAGCAGCTGCCCCTCCCCCACCTTCTGGTTGACCCTGCTGCTGAGGCTTTCAGGCTGACTGAGGCTCTCAGGGCCATGCTGGAGAGCCAGGGCAGTGTGGATGACCAGGGGGCTCTCAGAAAACAAGTCACCACTGAGACGGCAAACGTTATAGTAAACTGGCTGGGAATAAATGAGGTGCAATCTGTTTTATTTACAAGAAAGGGTTGTATGAACAAATTAATTAATAATGTACTGGACAATATCATTACAGAGCGTTTCATATACACATTTAAAACCTCCAAAAAATGAGAAAAGGACAGTACTGAGACATATTAATTTGCCTCCGTCTACCGAGCCCCTGGGTTTTACTATTTGCATGACTTGCTCTTTGATCCTGGTCATCAACATCTGGGGGGGGGGGGGGTGGTGAGTAGAGTCTGAAGGTTGGTAATCCTGGCCACCCAGCTCCACAAGAGCACTGAACAAACCTTTACCCATTTTGCCTGGAAAATGAG